ACAGAGAGAGAGAGAGAGAGAGAGAGAGAGAGAGAGAGAGAGAGAGAGAGAGAGAGAGAGAGGGAGAGAGAGGAGTTGTAAAAGGACATTTTAAAGGTGAGGATATAGATACATGTTTCTCACATTTTCACTTGTTGGTTCTTTTATGTTGCATGTCTCTTTCTGAGCATAAATGTCCTGAAAGCACCTCTAGAAACCCTTTTTTTCCCCAGTGTCATGCATCGAGACCCTGTAATACTTTTCTTTAGTTCCTCAGTCATGTTTTCGTTGAAGTTTTACCTTAGAATTGTCCAGTTCCAGATTGTTCTGCCTTTTGATTTGATAGAAGAGTTCCATGTTCCTTTTTCTTATTCTATCTAGGAACCAGTTCACTTTAGTTTCTGATTCTTTGAGAACTGAGACATCTTTTTCCTTTGAATTAGAGACGAGCGGGAAGCGCTTTTTCCTTCCCGAGCGAGAAGACTGAGAAGCTGACCTATTACTCGCCGAGACCGGTCCCGAGAACGAGAAATACTTCCCGTCTCGTGTTTCGGGCAATGCTTCTCGTTTCGTGACCAATTTCTCTTATCGCCCCGCAGTTCGAGCCGCTCGTTCAGCGAGAAGCCAGCCGTGGCCGAGATTTCTCTTCTAGCCCCACAGAACGAGCAACTCGTTTAGCGGGAAGGCCGATCGTGGCGGGGATCTAAACTTAGAAACTAGGCTTGCCCTGGTGCGCAGGCGCAAGCAGTGAAGGAAGGTAGGGAGACGACCTAGGCCTAGGCCCTGATCAACTCCCCACTCACCTCGTCTCCCCACCCTCTCCCCTCCCTTTCTGTTTCACACACAGGACGGCACGGTGATGGGTGGCACTGTCTGCGTTGTCATTTCTCGCCTCTCACTCTCTCACTCTCGTTACTGTTACTTGTTATGTCAAGCCAATGAGCAGTATCATGTCTCGGTACCGAGCAGTAGTTTAGTGCTTGGGAAGTGACGGGAAGGGCGTTTCTCGCGAGAAACAAGTACTCGGCTCGTTTCGTGCCCGCCCCTACTTTGAATCCTAGGCACCTCCTGTAGCCTTCTTTATCACTTAAATTCTCGTATGAATTTATGCTTTTTCTGCTCTCTTGATTAATGTTAGTTGGGTTTCTTATTTTCTTTAACTTATTGTGTCTTAATATCTACTTTAAAGTATATGAACATTCTGCTGTGTCTTACATGGTAGAGTAAAATTAGTGCTTGATTGATGATTTTTACACTGCTTAGACTTATGATATTTTATCACAGGATTGGACATTGCAAAAATATTTTTGAGTTGAGAAGTATGTGTAGTTTTTTTTCTTTATGGTCGTTTCCTATGGGCTAATACATTTTTTTATAAAATCTTTTTCCGAAGGATGGGGAATGGTCGGATGAAAGCTGTGATGGATCTGCGTCAGGATACATTTGCAAAAAACCGAAAGCAATAATCGACACACCCACCATCTCTCCAGACAGCGTTGGATGCCCAATGGTAAGTTACTTTTGCGTCCGTACGTATAGTACTGTGGTGGGTTAGATGGCACCACCGATAGGTCCAACGTCTTTCTTTTCCTTGCGTTGTTTCTGCCTGTCTGTCTGACTTTTTCCTGCCATTGTTGTATCGATGTGCTTCTATTAGGTCTTCTCAAACAAATAAATGACTTATAAGTAAAAGTTGACTCTGTGAACAAGTTAGGTCTCTGAACCCATGACAGGTTTGGAACAAAGTTAATTTCAGAGGCTGGGTACTTACTTATTGCTTGGTTTTCATTGCAAATGCCTGTCTGAAGTAGGCCTATGTGGGAGTAGTCGGGAAGAAGGTAAGATAAAGATTTATTGATCTCGACAAAGTGAAATTTGCTGTGGCATTGTAAATGCATACACACACATATACACTCGTCAACACACAGACACACACACACACACACACAGACATACACAGACACACACACACACACACACACACACACACACACACACACACACACACACAGACACACACACAGACACACACAGACACACACACAGACATGCACACACACACACACACGCACACACACACACACACACGCAGGCCCACACACTTGCACACACACACAGTCACACACACATGAATAGTTATTGAATGTGTTATTTTTGTGAACCAGACAATATCTGAATAGCTTGTGTTAATGACTGTATGAAGGATTTTTTAAATTCTTGTGGGTATTTTCTTTAAAAAACAAACCCAACCCATTTATACCTCTTCCAACAGATGTCTAATATTCTGAATTTAAAGAACATTTGGTATCAGAAATGATCCTTCTTTTCCTACTTTTACAATATTGATATCGTAAAGCTCAGTGACAGAGGGGAGGAAACGATTAATAACTTTCGCTGCTTTCTGTTGTCATCTTGGATAGATCCACATACTTTTATGTGGACTTGACATTAGGCGTATAGCATCAGGTAAATCTAAAGTAAAATCAGGTGTTATAATAAACCAGAGATTTATCAGTCTGCATTGCTACCGTTGTCAAATTTGGAGATGAAGTTATTTGAAATACTCAAATGCTTTCTTAACGGGAGGAGCGACCTTCAATTTGGCTGATTGTAGGTCAAGCTATGCAAATTGAGATTTTGGCTGTTTTTTCAAGGTCAGCCAGTTTTTTGTCGAAAAATAGCAAGGAGACATTTGAAAAAATCTTTATTATCGTCGTAAATTGCTTTTGAAAACGTGAGGGTAGGTTAAAATATAGTGAATTTTCACAATAATTGTTGTTTTTCTCACAATGTCATTTTTTTCCGTTTTCCCTTACCCCTCCCTTAGTCTTCATCCTTTTGACATGAAACTTTCAGGAAACATAGATGGTAAAGCTGCCATCAATGTAACAGAAATATTTGCAAAAAAGAAGTAGCACTTTTCAATTGGCAAGCAATTACCAAAGTTTAGAAATGGTTTATATATCTTGGGATCATTCTGATATGTTTTTTTCTTTTACACATATTTAAAATACTCCTTGTTACGTTGATAGGGACTGGTTCAAGTATCCTCTCACCAAATTTTGTCGAAATTGGTCATGAAATGGGACAGCCTTAGGGATTTGAAATTCTTTGTATATTTTCAAGATGGTGGCGGTTTCCGTAGCAAACATTGTAGCTATACAAAAATAAAAGTACGTGTCCAGAGATTTTTCTATGTCAAACTTACATGTGTACTTGGATTTGATTTCGGGCAACAAACATAGAAATTGGGTCACCCGAAGGTTGCTCCTTCTGTTAGAACCGTGACAAGGTAAATTGCTGATTCTGTATGTTTGACATTTTATTTTCAGGGTGCATTTGGTTACCAAGCTTCCTGTTACATCATAGTTGACACTCCCAAAACCTGGCAAGATGCCAAAGCCTACTGCCAAAGCAAAATGGGCCACCTAACAACCATTCAGAACAGGTTTTGTATTCTACTTCAGTCATTTTTATTATTACTATAAATACCTCTTTTTCAGAACAAGTCAGTGAACAATTTTGTGTGTATGAATACAGTCGCACCTGTCCAAAACGACATTACAAGGGAGCCAGAAAAGTTCAATCAATAAAATCAGTGGAGACCACAAAAGGATTTGAAACTCATACTTCTACTGCTGAGTGTTTGCCAAACTTGAGAGGCATCAGTCCTGGTCCATTTTATAGACATGCATGATTCCTTTGGCAATCTTTTATGGTAGGCCTATTATCTTTTTCCCACCAATCTGTGGAGTAGTAGCTAGCTCCTTTACCACTGCCCACAGGAAACATGAGTTCCATTCCAGTTTGGGGACATTTTTTATATGGTATCTTAGTCTTTCTGTGAGGACATTCTATCCATCTCAGCCCATGTCAGCTTGAACACAAAGGGTCAAAGCCCACTTTCTAAATGATAGCCTACTGATTTGGCGTGGCGTCGGTGGCCTAGTGGTTAGGCTCTCGGACTCGCAACCGTAAGGTCGTGGGTTCGAATCCCGTCAGGGGCCCAACGTTGTGTCCTTGGGAAAGGCACTTTACACGAATTTTCCTCACTTCACCCAGGTGGGAATGGATACCCGGCTATAGACAGCAAAAGATCTTGTCAGTTTGTTAGTGTTTGAGCGCTTAATTAGCTGCTTGCACTGTATGCTTCCAGGGAAGCTGAGAATGTTTCGGAGTGTTCTATGGTCTGCTGGCGTAATAATATAGTGTAAAGCGCATAGAGCCTGCTGTTGAGCGGGGATATGGGCTATACAAATGCTATTTATTATTGTTTATTATTGATTAAAAATATGTAAAGTTACCTGGCGGTCCGATGAGACGGGTCTGTCAGGGGGCTCCCGTCCAAGATAAGTGTTGCCTCGTCGCGGTCTTGAGTCCGACTGAATACCTCAGTGAATCTCTCAGACGATCTCCGCCTATTTCCCGCGGAACCCTTGACGTCATCCAAGGGCGTGCCACTCCCTTAATTATCTTGTCCCCACAGTAAAGATTAGAGTCATGTCCCCTGACATCACAAAAATATTATGCTCATGAGGACGTCAAAACCCTTCTTTAAAAAAACCCTGAAGGAACTCACTTTTCCCTCCCTTTTTTGTAGTTTTCACTCTCTGTACGGCATAATTATTGGGAGGATTACTGTCGCTTTTCAGAAATGCTTGCTTCTTGATTAGCTTTCACTTTCATTGTTTGAGCTCTGAAAACATCAAACGTCTCCTTCTCTTCTTCTCAGAGTATGAGTGAAGAGCTGTTAAATCATCATCAGCCCTTGCCTGCCTCTTGTGATTTGATTCTTCATGCTTAATTTCTCATCCAGGATTACTGGTGCGTTTGTAGCATCTGAACTGGCTGGAAAGACTGCGTCATACTGGCTGGGTCTCTCCAATCCTGGAGACAAATACGTTTGGGTCAATGGTGCCCAGGTAAAATACTTGCCTTGGGGGCCGTCTCACACAGGTAAGGCAACATACATCGTGTCTGCTCTTGTACTAGGTGGTGTATAGTTCAAAAGTTTATAGCTTTTTCACTTTTGTCAAACTACAGTTAGAACAAGATACAAACAAATTGCTTTCTTCAATCTCATTTGCATGTGGATCTAAAATAAGTTGGATGACCAATGGAATCTAAAAGCCCATGAAAGAAAGTCACAGCAAACTAAGGATAAGACATGTTTTTTTTGTGATGGTAGCCTTATTAGGGGAGTTACATTTTATATCTAAAACATAAAGTTGCCCTATTTTCATCAACACCATGCTTTAACGCCCGTCAATGAAACATGTTGCAAAAGATGGGTTTTTACTTTTCGAGACTCACGTGGAGATGTCTAGACAGTCTTTAGAGGAAATCTTCCAACTTACACTGAAATGTGGTGGCAGAGTGGTGTCTCTGACTGAAAATGAATAATTTGTCAATTGGGTGGGTCACTGTAAATTTTAAAAAATTGTAGTGATCCTTTGTACGTACCCAAAATGTGATGTTTAATACAAGGCACAAACAGAGAAACCTTTTTATTACTGGATCAAGGCCTTTTGGAAAAAAATTTTGGGTTTTGTTACTGGCTGACTGGATTACCATGGAAAGTTTCATGCACATTGGGAAATTAATAAATATGAATTTTTTTATACACCTACAGATGAAAGTGAACAAGCTATAGATAGAAAGATGGAGTGCTCAGTATCAGGATGAAAGGGGAAGAGGAGAGATATTTTTGTTGTTGAAAGACAGTCTAGAGATTTGGAAATTAGCACAGAGGCCAAGTGTTACCAATCTGAATGATATTACAAGACATTTTCACTTTACTGTTGCTCTTGATATGGAAGTGGCTTGGTTTGGTATAATATTTTTAAATTATTTTTTTTTTTGGGGGGGGGGATATACAGCTGAAGCTACATTTAGGCCACCTCATTTGAAGCAGAAACAAAGGGAAATTTTAAAGCTGTTTTTCTCAAAACTTTGTTTCCATACCCTGCCTTACAAAATCACTCATATCTCAAAAACTACAGAAGATATCTTAAAGAATTCAAAGGCATATTGTTCAGAAATGATCTCTGTACATGAAAATGTAAAAAAAAACTTGATTCTTCAAAATGCGTCATTTGGTACGTTTCACCAGGCACACACACATATTCTTGTCAGAAGCCATTGTGAGACTTTTCTTAGATACATAATGCTTGCAATAGGCCCATTAAAGTAGAACCATCTCAGTTATCTTGTAAAATAGGTTATTCAGTGACCAATAGGATTAGTATCAGAATACATGTACTACTAATGTATCTTGCTTTAACATTACTATTGTTGACAATAACTGTTCATTAATATCATATATGTGTAATTATGGATCTGTTCATGAGTGGAAACATAATATATATATGACTTGTGTCTGTGTATATGTGTGTGGAAGAGAAGATATTTGAGAGAGTATATATGTGTGTATGGGTACACATGCATTATATGCATAATATGTATGTATGTATGTGTGCGCGCATATGTGCATTTGTGTTTGATGTGTGTGTGTGTGTGTGTGTGTGTGTGTGTGTGTGTTTGTTTGTTTGTGTGTGTGAAACACCAAACCATTGTGCCAGTGTCTGGAAAATAAAGATTTATCTGCTTGTATCTCATTTTGCCTCGATATCAATGCTGGCAAAAATGATTTAAGTCTTTATAGATGAGGTTTGATATTATCCCAAGAGAAGTACTCTAAGGCCCTCCTTCTTCTTTCAGGGAACGAGAAGAACTCATGTGTAGCCATACGTACACAGAAACCTTTCGGCCTGTGGGAAAATCTGGATTGTCAAGGGAAGCAACCTTTCATCTGTGAGACCGGGCGTCGAGGATTCACCACCACTCCTGTCCCTACCACTACCCCGCCCCCTGTCCCTACAACACCTGCGCCTTGCCCGAATGGATGGTCCGGACATAATGACTACTGCTATAAAGTATGTTATAGTCTAATATAATTGTCATTACATCCGGACTACTGCTGTAAAGTACGTTATAGTCGAATATAATTGTCATTACATCTGGACTACTGATGTAAAGTGTGTTATAGTCGAATATAATTGTCATTACATCTGGACTACTGATGTAAAGTGTGTTATAGTCGAATATAATTGTCATTACATCTGGACTACTGATGTAAATTATGTTAAAGGCCTCATAACAGTCAGATATCCGACTACTGCTATAAAGAATGTTGAAGGAACCCTGGCTTTTTAATATCTGACTCAATGTTGTAGAGATAATTTGCAGGGATTCTGTTTTCCCCACATTTCCCCCATCATTTCACTGAAATTAAATCAAGGGACGTTAGGAGATTCTTTTCCAGAAAATAGAATACTATTAAAATCCTGACATTTTTGTTGTTTTTTACAAGCAAAGAAAGTAGGTAAGAAGAACAGTTTTTATTCTCAACATTTTGTTTGTTTGTTTGTTTAACTCCATGTTAGTTATGTCTGTTCACTGTCGTTTTGTTTGCAAATATAACATTTTAAACTTTGAGTATTTTTCACAAAATCCGCGTAGCAATCTCTTGAACTATAAAGTATCATCACATCTTCTTTTGTCTTTTCTCTTATCTTATTTCTGAAGTTATTTGCCCCTAATGCTCAAGTGCCTGGTTTTACTACAGATCTATGCATCTATGCCAGGCATGGTTAGTGATTATTTATTTCTTTGTTCACGTTATCCACATTCCTTGTCTTAGGGCTAGTGGGATAAGATAATATAAGATAAGATGAGATGAGATGAGATGAGAGAAGATAAGATAAGGTAAGATAAAATTAGATAAGATAAGATAGATAGATCTTTATTGTCTAGATTTTGGTACATTGATTTGGTGTTTCACCCTCACATACACCCTCATAAACTCTCTCACACACACACACACACACACACACACACACACACACACACACACACACACACACAGGCATAGTCACAACAAACACACCCATACACTATACGCACTTTGAGTATTAAGTCGTTTTGAATAAAGAATCAATATATTGTTGTTGTTGTTGTTATTGATCCTTTTTTTGTCATTGTTATCGGTCCAGTATAATTTGAAATAAAATTACAGTATATTTTAACCCTTCCTGCCCCAAGCGCGTATATTTTCAGCAGTGCTAGCACCTCCCAGCGTCCCAAGAGCGTATATTCTCAGTTTAGGAGGGTACCGAATTTGCGTATTTTTCGAAATTAGCAAACCTAATTAAACGTTAATTTTCATAATATTTGTTCATTTACTTTTAAAGATTGTTATATGTTATTATCTAAATCTCATTACAAAGATACTACATCACTTTTTAGAATGCATGCCTCTTTTTCTGAAATACTGCTGTATTGGCTGGGACTGGGGTTAGCGAGTGCACAAAATGGCTGGGGCTGGAAGGGTTAAAATAAAAATATTTTCTCTGTAGTTATTCAAGGAAGCTGAAGACAAGAAGAACTGGCAGGCAGCTCAAACTTTCTGTGAGATTTTTGGAGGCAGCTTACCGAGCGCCCATGACAAGGCGACTGTTGACTTCATTGGAGATCTCACAGGGTAGGAATTTACATATGTGTGGTGTGCTGACAAAATGAGTTAATTCTTGGATTTCAGCCGCTCGGACACAGACAAATACATCAAATTACAGATTGGGTTAGTTAATTTATTATTTAGAAATTATAGAAGACATAGTAAACTTTAAGAAAAAGGCATCAGAAATATCAAAATCTGCAAATTTGATGCGCTAATTTTCTGACAAAATTTCCGTTCATGGATTGCCAGAAATATCTCATTGTGTCAGCACGCCTCACAAATTGCTTTTGTTTAACACTTAAAGGTTTTTTGGGCGTTGACCATTTTTTTGGCACTTATGTGATCTCTATGTGTTTCAAGTGATGTAAAACTCTTACTTAAACTAAAAGCTAAAAAAAACATGACTAATTTTTAAAGACAAAGATAGCTGTTAAAGAAATCACCATCAGCCCTCCTTAAATAGAAAAAAAAGGTTATTCATCAAAATGAAGTGTTGCCATATTTAAAGACATCAGACTGGACAAATCTGATAAAAGTAAAACATTTACAGCCTCCCCAAATTTCTAAAGGAATGAGCTGTTTAGAGAAACACTTGCAATCTCACTATGATTGGCATCATATATACGCTAAAGTGCTTTTAATTATGTTGTCAGTCCCTCCTGGACTAGGATACTTGGAATAAAACAACTATGTAAGCTTGCTCTGTTTAGCTGTGCAACTCTGACACCATAGAAGACAAGGATATTGATCGTCACACTCCCTTGTGTCCCCAGAGCATGATGTTCATGAGACTCTCTTGTATCCCCAGTTATTATTACAACCCCGGAAATATCTGGATTGGTTTGACGGACAAAGACAAGGAGGGCAGTAAGTCTTGCTTTTCCTTTCCATACGTCGTTGTCTTGGTCTTACACAAACTCTTCCTAAACTTTTGCGTTCGGTGTATGAATGTGTTTATACTCTGGTATGTGGATGGTTGTCGGGTGCTCTGCCATCATTTTAAAAAGTGTAGTAGGCCCATATGCAGTTTTTGCAATTTTATAGGAAAGCCAAAAAAGTGAATGTTGTTACGAATAAGAAAACAAACTCTTTACAAACATCCCATGTCTATATTTTTAAGAATACAATTTTGACAAAAACTTCCTTATCATCTTTAAAGCAAATGTTGTTTTCTTGGTAGCAACATATAGTTTTCTGATTTTATTTGCTCCTTATTTCTTGTTAAATTTCTATCATTTGTATTCCTCTTCCATCTTTTCTTTGTAAGTTACTCTGTATTAGTACCACCAATCGTTGTCACCTTTTTTAACATAATATTTGTATTGAACATGCTGTAAAACATTTTCTAAAACCGAAATTCGTTTTTTTATTTATCCAAACTTATGTGTACAACCCTTTGTTGTTGTTGTTTTCAAATCCCTTAAGCTGCGAGCATTTCGCTCTTGGCAGTGCAATGCCTCCCTCAAGTAACCATATGTCCTTGTCATCTTGTCAACGCCAGAGGTGTGCAACCCTTTAGATTTAAAAGTATGAACGGTTTAAATTGTTGCAGTCAACAAATTTGTGTTGATGAGGGGGGTAGATCATCTACTCTTTAAAAAAAAAAATTAATTAAAAGTACTGTCCAAAGTGCTCTGTTACTGGAATACCTGTCCCTGGATCAATCAACCAGTCAGTCATTATCAATCCAGTGTTGTAGTTGTTGTTATTGATCCAGTGTTGTTGTTATTGATCCAGAGCCAGTTAGTCAGTTGTTGATATATTTTAGTGTCCACCAAAGTGCTCTGGTACTGGAATATTTGTCTCTGGATCAATCAGCCTGTCGTTCAGTTGTTGATGTTGTGTTGTTTTTGTGTTTCAGGCTACGTGTGGTCAGATGGCTCTCCGTTTGACTACGTCAGTTGGCACGATGGTGAGCCGAACAATATTCATGGGACAGAGGACTGCATTCAGGTGATAATAATAATAATGATATTAAAATTAATAATAATAATTTTAAAAAAATAATAATGATATTGATAATAATAATAATAATAATGATATTAATAATAATATAATAACAGACTGCATTTATATAGTGTTCAATCCTTTTATAGTACACGCTCTGATCTGGAGCACTGAGGTATACTGTCAAACATGTCTACTGGCACCTATGGTGTAGCAGTAAGGCACTTTGCTGGTGCACACCACAGGAGATCTGAGTTTGATTCACGAATGGAGAGAATTTTTATCGAGTATCTCGGTCTTTCTGCTGTGATGTTGGATCCCACTGATCCATGGTGAGCTTGAAACAGGCGGGTCGAAGCCTGCATCCTAAATGGTCTAAATTGTGTCAATTGGGGAGTAAAAACATGTACAGTGGAACCTGCCTTAAAGGAAACCTGTATAAAACGGAAACCTGTCTTAACGGAAACCTGTATAACGGAATCTCCCCGCTCCCCCCTTGATATATTCCTCTTTAATTACCTGTATAAAACGGAAACCTTTCGAACGCAGAAACGGAAAGAAAAATCCGCTCCCTTCCGATGGTTTCACCTGTTTTAAGACGGAAAATGCTTTACCCCTCAGCCCTGATTTGAAACAAAACTCGTAAGTTTGGTTCCGCCGGCTCTAAACTTAACGCCATGGCCATGCCTCAAGGCGAGGAAGGGGAGTAGGGGTGCAATTTGGGGGTAGATGTTACCCCATCATGGGAGCCCTGAGCGATTCAGGTGGTCAGTATAGTGTGGGTGTGAAATCTCACGACTGCCCGTGAGAGTGCTTGAGTAGGGAGCCACTACGGAAACTTTCCTGGGTACCCAGAAGCCAAATTAGTTTGACCAATGCCTGCCGCCCTGATCGTACGGCCAGCCGAGAAAAGAGTTCCTTGAATCATTGTTACATGATGGCAGTGAGGGGTGACATTGGTGGGTGGGGCTAAGGGTGGAATCAAAGGAGAGGTCAAACAGTGGTCCTATGAAATGCAAGCACTGGTGGTAAATATAAGTAAGACTGACGCATGACATTATCAGACAGGATAGCAATTGAGAGGTGTTTTGACCACTGCTTGCCGATCGGACAAGCGATCCTTGATCCCACCGGCTGGGCCTTTGAACCCCCCCCCCCCACCTCTATCTCCCCCTGAATTCCCCTGTCTAAGATGGAATTTTTTTCAGGCTCCCTTGCGATTCCGTCTTACACAGGTTCACTGTACATAAAAAAAATTAGTGACAAAAATGTCAGACATACTGTTGTTATACGCTGAGATGTTGTCAGTGGCTCACTGCTCTGCTGTAAGCTGACCAAACGCGGCTTTTTATTTTTTTAGGTGTCAAATCTTTTAGATAAAATTTACTAAATTGAAAGCCTTATCAGTTACCCTACTCTCGTGGAAAAATCAAAGCGAAACCGAGACTAGTTTTTAAATATATTAGAATTCAAATTTCGGAAGAACGCTGTTGTTAAATTAGTTACGCTGACAAAAGATAAAAAAAGGCGTTTTGTTAGCTTACGGTTAGTGCTCTGAATAGGTTTTGTACAATATCTCTGCTCAGGCCATATTGGTATAGCGTTTTAATGACTTGGCAACAGTGAGCACTCTCTACGTCACTTTTATGGCCTACTTGTGTTGCAAGTGCCGTAAAACTTTTACTCAAACTCAAACAAGATAAATATAGGATTGTTTTCTGTCTTCTACTTTCAGATGACCCTAAGGACCGGTACATGGAATGATTTCAACTGCTTCGCGGTGGCTGCGTTTGTTTGTTCAGTGAGGAGAGGTAGAGTGGAGCAGTGTTTGTGTCTTGATCACATGTGTTTTGTGTCTCACTACAAGGGATTTTTGTGTGTCTTGTTTTTTTTGTGTCCTGTTTTATGTCTTGTTTCAGTATGTTTTTTGAGTCATGTTTTGCATCTTGTTTCTGTGTGTTTTTTGTGTGCACAGAATTCTACACTTATAGAAGCGGAACTCCCTCTTCGCGATCGCCGATTCGCTGTGAGGAATTGAAACTAAAACATGGCGGCCGGTTGAGGGCACCTTTGGCTGCGCCGCACAGCGAGGCTTCATGTTGCTATGCACGCTGATGCTAGTGGTAGGGCTTGGAAGTCACCTTACATCAGTATTTTAAAACTTTCTTCGAAGAGGAAATATAGTGAAATAGTCTAGTACATTTTTATTGCCAACAATATGTCATAATTGGCAATGTTACAATGTTTTTGTATTTGTATTTGTTGGGGTTTTTTTTTTTTTAAATGATGGGATGGGATCTAGATCTAGATCTACTAAAGATCTTCACAATCACAATACACTTGATAATAACACTAATTATGAACATTAATTCTGTTGGCAAAATATCTAGGTACAGTCTTGATTAGTACTAGATCTACGATAAGGGGACGCTGACAGTAACATGCTCACTACAATAATATTGTCATTAAACTTAAGGCCATCCAAAGCAAGCAAAAAAGAACAATATAAGCCTTTTCTCCAATTTACAAGAAAGAGATAAATAAATTGAGCTTATATTGAGGAAATGTATTATTTCTCACTTTAAGAATTCATCTCTGTGTTTGCATCAGTAGTGTGTACAACAACATGCTTTGTTTAAAGCACGTGCGAGTCTAACAAATACAAGAGATTGGAGAATGTGTCGGTTGCACATACAATACATAAGACTATTGTACATGCTGCCAAAAACACAGAAATGCAGAAAAGGCCTCAAAATATTGGTTTACACATAAAAGCCAATAATGCAAAACAAAGTAAACAAGAGTGGAACTGGCATATGTTTCCTGAATATATGTTCAAAGTCATTTTCTGTGTGTTGGGAGTGTGATTTCTAATGCATGAATGATAGGCTCATTTAGATGTGATAATGAAGAAACTTGTGTCTACAGTCACAACAGAAAGAGTTCCATGGCGAGTGATCACTGGTCAAGGATTTCAGAGCTGTGGGCATTTTGAGAAAAATGTATTCCCATACCCTGGATCACATGTTGAGGGGATGGGCTTGTTCCCCTGTAATCCCCGCACACAGTAAACAAACACATATTTTTGAACACGAATAAGAAAAAATAAGTGGTCTCTTGTTACTGATCAAATTGAAACCTGTTTCAATTCAATTAATTGATAAAAGTGCGTATCGCAATGCGTTGGCCACCCCTGCCCTATAGGCCTATATGCTATTTAATAAATACATTCGTCAGACCTGGAATCTTTAATGCCCGCACACAGTAAATAAACACACATTTTTGAACACGTATAAGAAAAAATAAGTGTTGTCTTGTTACGGAACAAATCGAAGTCCTGCTACAATTCAATTAATTGATAAAAGCGTGTATCGCAAGGCATCGGCTAGCCCAGCACTATTACGCTATTTTATAAATACATTCGTCAGATCTGGAATCTTTAATTTTTAATCCCCGCACACAGTAAACAAACACACATTCATGAACATGTATAAAAAAATAGTGGTCTCTTGTTACGGATCAAATTGAAGTCTAGTTACAATTCAATAATTGATAATAGCGCGCATTGCAATGCATTGGCTAACTCAGCATTATACGCTATTTAATAATACATTCGTCAGATTTGGAATCTTAAATTATAATCATAATTATATGAGCCCGCGCGTGGGAAGTGAAAGTGAAAGTGAAAGGAATTGAAAATGCTTTCAAAAACAATTATGAAAGTAACATAATTAAAGTAGGACTACATGTGCTTATAAAGGCCCAAAAAGGTGTATGGATGCGGAAATTAATGTTTCGGATGAAAATAATACACTATCTCTACTACTGTAGCATGCGGTCAAAAATTTGATGCGCAACTTATTATCAAATATCTAGGCTACTGAACTATCGAACATCTAGATCTAGATTCTCCTACTTTTACACAAGGACTTAGATCTATATCAATTCGTCTTAACCGGTGAGTATTTTTTTCAAACATTTGTACACATCTATAGGTTCTATATTATTCTAGAAATTTCTTTAAAGAAAATTCTTTAATAAATACTAGCCCAATATTTTTTAAAAAATCCCAATCAATGGTTTCTACAGATTTTTAAAAAGTTCATAGCTGTAGCTAAATCTCTTTTAAAAGCAAGTCCGTCCTTTTTTCTACTTCTGCTGGCGACATAAAGCTAATTATTGAACGCATGTTTTGAGAACATTAATTAGATCTAGTGAAAAAATATGTTCAGTGTAAAACAAATTTCTTGTAACAATTTTGCTACTAAAAAATTACGTAGGCCATATGCGTATGCAAAATGTGTGTGGGAAGCTAGAAGTGCTGTGAACAATCCCATCCGTGTTACGAATTTTTTCACAGTTCTGTAGATCTTATAATATAAACTCTCTATGTCTGCTTTTTCTGTTGTTGCACCCAAAAACACAACAATTTAAAACCTTAATTCCAATCTCTAGTTGCACAGTAAATTCTGTAACTCAAAATTAAAAACTGGACAGTAAATGTTCCACTTTTCACTCTTTTGTAAAAGCCGCTCTTGCTTTAAAAGCTATAGGGTTACGTCCGAAAACGATAAATAGTGCCCTCAAGACGCCATTTTTTTCGGTCTTCAATTCCTCACAGGTCACGTGGTACAGTTCCCGTTCTATAAGTGTAGAATTCTGTGTTTGTGTGTTATATTATATCAATGTGTTTTTTGTGTGTTATATTATATCAATGTGTTTTTAGTGCATTGTTTCAGTGTTTTTTGTGTGTTATATTATATCAGTGTGTTTTTAGAGCATTATTTCTGTGTGATTTTCTGGTGTACGCTTCAGTGGAGATTTCTGTGTCTTGTTGGAGAGAGTTTTGTGTCTTGTTTCAGTGTTTTTCGTGTCTTGTTTCAGTGTTTTTCGTGTCTTGTTTCAGTGTTTTTTGTGTCTTGTTTCAGTTGGTCCTATATTGCTCTCATTGCTGCATGTTGTTTTTGTTTGAAGGAGAAACTGTTTGGCTTGACAGGAGATTGGAATGGGTCTCTGTAGGGGGAATAGTGAAGAAAGATGAGAAATTATTTGAGACCCTTACTGGGATTTGAACCATAAACCATGTGCTAGTCAAACCCAAAACGGATTGTACCCCAACGTTTGAGGCGTTGACGGAAAAAAATCTTTAGTCTGGAATATCTGAAATGTGAACAAAAATTTTCTTTGTCTGTTATGTTATGTTTTCATTTGAAATTTATTGGCAAAAATTTAATCAGAGGATAGCACAGAATGCTTTTTAAAGTAAGGTTTTTGTATGTCCCATCGACACATACTTAGGGTCCAACTGGAACGAGAGGGATACAGTGTCCCAGCAGAAAGACTGAGCTACTCAATAAAAATTATCTACATATATAAGAATTGAACCCAGGTCTTCTGTGTGCAATTGTGAAATGCCTAACTGCTACATAGCAGACGCCAGATTGTTGATGAATACCCAAAACTAAATGTAAAGTTACAATACACCCAACACAAGAACCTCCTAATTGACTGGACAATAATTCCAATGCATATACTTTCTCAAGTCACTTTTTCTGGCATGCACATAGCATACATAAACAGTCATATTCCAAGGAAGAGTGTATTAAAAATTAATGATTGCTTTCTGAAAACTCAAGAAAACGGCAAACATTTTGTGAACTGCAAATTAAAAAAGTGTGAAATGAGTTAAATTTTCGTATGAGCAGTTTTAGTCAAATGATACTGAAAAGGTTGAGTTTCAAACCAAAGCACTTTGATTATTGTCGAAACTGATGTTATGTTGATTTTGCGAACAGTTGAACTTGCTTTAACAACCATCTGTTTAAAACAATCTCCCATACAAATGACTGCCTCTCACTTCCCACATTTGAGTTTTTTCTTTGTTATACGGACACTGCCTTAGAGGATCAATTTTCTTGTCAATAATAGGTGGTTATCTTGGACAAATTGAACTGTATTTCCAAGCATCAAATAACAATGGTGCCTATTTTGGGAGTCTATTTTCTTTTCTGTGTTGCTTAATTAATCTGATAATCAAAATAGAAGCAACCTTAAAAACAATTTGAGATAGTTGTAGGCCTACTGCTCTCAATAATATGTGAACTGCAGATGCTTGGAGGGTGCCTCTGGTTTGTCTAATTTCTTTTCTTTCCCTCTCTTATTTCTGCCTGTCTTTTTTAGTTTTTCCACATACTTAATGACTGTTATTGCGCTGATGTTCTTCTCTTTACTCAAATGTACAGACAAAGGAATGGACTGGTCTGAATTTTTAACAAACACTTTGTTATTGTGTTGCTCTGCAACCAAATGGTTGTTCAGTTTGCCATAATCAACAAAACTTTTTCTCCCACAGGTGTACCCTTTCCCAGCCCTTCTCCAACTGTACCGACAACACCAGGTATGTTTCTCTTGCTTGTAGGTTTTTAAAAATAAGTTGCCATCTTTTTGTATCTTTTCAGAGAAGAATATTTATCTGGGTCAGATGTAAGATTCAACAAAAATGAAAGTATTGTGTTTGGCTTGCCTTCTCGCTCTTGGTTTTGTATCTCACGTCCTCCATCTCTTTTCAAACTTTGTCCATTTGTCGGTCTGTCTGTCTGTCTGTCTGTCCGTCTGTTTTTTCCCTGTACCAAATGACTCTTATTGGGTAGATGGGTTCCTCCCCCACTCCCTCTCTCTTTCTTGCTTTTCCCACCTTTCCTCCCTCCCTCTCTCCTTCCCTCTCTCTCTGTGTTCTTCCAGACATGCAGACTTTCGGATACACTCTTTCCAACACACACACTCACACACTCACACATACCCAGTCACTTACTTACACACACACACACACACTTACACACACACTTACACATACACTTACACAAACACTTGCACACACACACACACAATCACACACACACACACACACTCATATTCTCTCACTCATACACACACACACTCACTCAACCATACACACACACTTACACACACACTTTCACATACACAGACATACACACACTTACACACACACATACACAAACATGCACCACACCACATGCACTGTCTGTGGTGGGGGAGGGTAGGGTGAGGGTGTAAAATGCTTACACCAAAAAAACCAACCCCTGTTTATGTCAACTCTTGATCTATAATGTCTCCTTTCTCTACAGCCCCACACTGCGGAGATTCTGACTGGATATACCACAACGGGTTTTGCTACTTCTTCAGCCCTGACTACGGCGAAGACGCCAAACTGTCTTGGTTTGCTGCTCATCGCTTTTGCCTCTCAAAGGGTGGAGATCTTGTTAGCATTACTTCCGAGCCAGAGAACGCCTTCCTGATTCTGACGGTGAGTGAAAGGATTCCATTTCCTAGTATAAGTTTTTATTTTTTAAATATTTATTTAGCATTCATTTTCAGTAACTCCTCCTCCTCCTCCTCCTCCTTCTTCTTCCTCCTCCTCCTCCTCCTCCTCCTCCTACTTCTTTTTCCTCCTCCAACTCCTCCTCCTCCTCCTCCAACTCCTCCTCCTCCTCCTCCTCCTCCTCTCTTCTTCTTCTTTTTCTTCTTCTTCTTTTTCTTCTTCTTCTTTTTCTTCTTCTTCTTCTTTTTTTCTTCTTCTTCTTCTTCTTCTTCTTCTTCTTCTTCTTCTTCTTCTTCTTCTTCTTCTTCTTCTTCTTCTTCTTCTTCTTCTTCTTCTTCTTCTTCTTCTTCTTCTTCTTCTTCTTCTTCTTCTTCCTGCCCCTCCCCGCTAGAACTCAGGGGTTACCCAAAGAAAAGGAAGAAAGGCGTAAAAGTACTTAGAAGAGGGACTTTGATTCCAACCTAAAGGTGATAAGACACCACTGGATAGAGGTAGAGACTATAGCCTAGTACAGAAGTACACACAAAACTCTTGTTGGTGGCCTGTACATCTGGGTACCTTGTGAGAAAGGTTCATGATGAAATTTGAAATGTGATGCAAAGAAGGAGTTTGGCAGGGGAGAATGATGGGAAATGAAAGAGGAGAAGATGGAAACATTGCAAGAGAAGAAAGTATGAAGAGGTGGAGGATAAAACGATGAAAAACTTTACTGTTTGTTTTTGAAACTTTTTATTCACAGTTTCTCTCTCCTTACATCTATGTGACTACATCTGATTTTGTAAAAAGAGGGAATGGATGTAGCAGACCAATTTCTTTAAATGGTATGGCTGCTCATCATTTTCTCTTTTTAAAATTTGAAACCTTCTTATTTTTTTAAAAGAATGTAGATGAAAACTCTTTCAGTACTTTTGCTTCTGTTCTTTCCAGGCACAAGTCCTGCGCTCCGGAAATACGGATACATACTGGGTGGGCTTGAACCAGATGGATCAAGAAAATTATGTGTAAGTTTTGTATCATTGATTGCAGGTTTTTCTTTTAGGCATTTTATCCTAATTATTTTTCTTCTTAATTAGCGTGGGAAAAGAAGAAGAGCCATGCAAGTATGACATCTAGAATAGACTGAATATACCTTCTAGAATAGACTGAATATGCCTTATTATATATCAGCGTTTGTGGTTTGCGGTTAAGCACTTTACTATTGCTTGCAGAAGACATTATTTTGATTCCCGTTTGGGCAGATTTTAAAACATTTCTTTAATTTTCTTTGCAGTAAATGAACATGTTGCTTTGGGTTATCTTGCATTAACTCATTATTTCTGGTTTTGATATAAATCAATTTGAAAGCACAAAGTTCCTGTTGAAAAGAATATGAGTAAGTATAAAATGAAACTGAGGTTCTATGAAAAACAGGTATTTATTGTAGTGACGTTTAAGTTTAAAGCGGGGAAATTTTCAACAGCTTCGACAGCTGTGGCAAAAACTCCCAAATGTCGGAGACTGGAGTATGTCAAATATGAAGGTAGAGCAGTCACCTTTCTAGCACATATGTGTGTCACAATGCAGTTGAATCTGGCGTTCATCAATTTTCAACTTGTTCATTTGTCTTGCTCTTGATTAACTCTTTATTTCTGTGGGGGGGGGGGGGGGGGTCAACCCACTATGCTGGGACCCTATTTCGGTATAAAATTTAAAAGTGACAAAAACATCACTAAATTGGTCATTATATCAAAACAAGTCCACCTATTTTGAAAGCTCTTCATCTAATGAATGAACTCCTGATAAAAGAGACCTGTTTTCGACAATTGCTGACAAGTAGTTTGACATCGAAGTCGTCGTGCCGTTGTCAGCGGCTCCTACTGTGGTTCCAGCTGTGAGCCGCAGTAAGCAGCTTGCCTGAGATAAAGAGTTAAAGAAATGCTTGTCTATCTTGAATTAAAGTGGAGATATATGTGAGTGAAGGAGGTGTGGGTCTCCTAGTGAAAGAAGTAATATTAGTGAAAAAATGGCCGCTAAAGTTTTGTGACTTCCATAGCTTGAGAGTCCTTGGAAACAAAAAAATTGACATGTTTTTGTACCGTTAATCAATGTTTTTAAGTAAAATCCACACATAAATGTGATTTTTAATGGGCATATAAAGTGTTAAGTCAAAAAGCAAAAACTCCTCAATAAAAATTTCCAAACTGGTGGAAAAAAATGCCGTTTCTTTAATTTCTTTATTTTGACGAGTGCTTGACTTCACCGTGATGCTTGAATCATATTAAGATCTAGGACTATGGGATTACAAATCGTCGCTGTCTCAAGCAATCCACTCATGTCCAGATTTTGAAAATTTTCTATTTTTAGACCCTACCAAAGCTCTTCTAAATGTATGTACTACCTTTCAACATCACCTAAATACATTTTAATACTATGGTCAAGGCTTATTATTTTCTTGCTTTTCAAGATTCCTAACAAGAAAAACACAACAAAATCTAGTTTTTTGTCTCTGGTATAAAAAGTACAGAAATTGATTTTTGGTGCAATGCTTGAAAATACCTATAAAATATTCAAGGTTTTCCCAAAAAGATATCATCATCATCATCCGGTGCCTTGCCGACGGGCATGGGCGATCATGGACCTCCACTTCCATCTGTCTTTCGATGCAGCAATGGTGTCTGTCGTTCCTGCTGTTCCCAGCCATGTTGTCAACTTGTCCAGTATCATTTCCCTCTGTCTGCTTCTGCCTCTCTTTCCATCAAACTTGCCTGTTGTTACAATATTCTCCTGTGCTTCTTTCCACATAATTACATTTAATACTTTCACTTACAGATAGAATCAATTTCACTTATTATGAGACAGGATCTCTCTCTCTCTCTCTCTCTCTCTCTCTCTTGCTCTCCACAATCAATTTCTCTTATTATGAGACAAGATCTCTCTCTCTCTCTCTTTTGCTCTCCACAATCAATTTCACTTATTATGAGATAGGATCTCTCTCTCTCTC